AAAAAATATATAATTAAAAAACGTTATAATGGCCCGCAAATATTAAAGAAAATTAACACTTATATTTTATGTGTATACATATTAGGTTTGTATAGTAACCAATAGTCAGTATTAATTCGTACTGGAACCTACAAATTTTTACTGGAAAAATCCCAAAAAATTTGCAAGAGAGCAATGAATCGAGAGCGTAATAAAACGGGAGAGCTGCAAATTCCTGCTGGCGAAATTTTTACTAACAGAAATTAGCTAGCAGAATAAGAAGAAGCATAAATGTGAAAAGCCGTCATTTGTTGAATTGGATGGAAGGCAATTTTTTCTGGAGAATTCGAAAACACAACTTTTTTGAAAATTTTTGAAATATTCAGATTTTTGCACTTGGTCTAAATTAGTAGTTTATCGCTCAATGTATTGGAAAACACGATACAATTTTTCTAAACGATATCCAATGTCAATCCTTCATCTCATTTTTAACAAACTTTAATTTATTGCTCTTATGTCGTATTTACTCATCGATTGAACTTCGGTTAATTTGGCAACTCTGTTCGTTGCTTTTGTTTCTTTGCTGTGGATTTGTATTTCAACCCGGTGCACGGAATTGGCAATAAATTGCAATTCGCAATGGCAACCGAGCCAGAAGCATCAACTTCCAAAAGGATCAACGAGATACGCCAGGCCTCAATCATTGTAAAATGGAGTGGTAAGGAGTATCCCATAACAGACCTAACTGATCAGGACACGGTGGCCGTCCTCCGTCATGAAATCTTCAAACTCACACAGGTGCGGCCCGAGCGACAAAAATTGATAAATCTCAAATATAAAGGTAAGTTGATCGCTGTCACTGCCGTTATGCAGGATGTATATAAAACATAACGGGCTTTGTTTTTATAGGCAAAGTAGCGCCAGATGACATCAAGCTATGTGCCCTGGAATTGAAACCAAACTTTAAGCTTATGATGGTAGGTTCTACCGAGGCTGCTATTGAGGTTGCATGCCAGCTGCCCGAAGAAATGGCTGAGGTGATAGATGATTTTGATGTTGCCGAAGAAGAGGATTTGGTAGAGAAATCACCAGTATACTTAGCAAAAGTGCAACGCCGGGTTAGGGAGTATAAAATTACAGAGATTAATCCTCCGCGGGAAGGTAAAAAGCTTTTAGTACTCGACATAGATTACACACTTTTTGACCATCGATCTCCCGCTGAAACTGCTTCGGAACTAATGCGACCGTACTTACATGAATTCCTTGAATCTGCTTACGAGCATTACGACATTGTCATCTGGTCTGCCACGGGTATGCGTTGGATTGAAGAGAAAATGAAATTGCTGGGCGTCAGCAATAATGCCAATTATAAAATAATGTTCTATTTGGACTCTACTGCCATGATTTCGGTGTACACTATCGAACGTGGCGTCGTAGATGTGAAGCCACTAGGTTTAATTTGGGGTATTTATCCACAATACAGTTCCAAAAACACCATCATGTTCGATGATATACAACGTAACTTCCTGATGAACCCACGCTCGGGCTTACGCGTACGACCCTTTCGGCAGGCACACTTAAGTCGTCAGACAGATAAAGAGCTCCTGAAACTTTCAAAGTACCTGCACGATATTGCGATCCACTGCGACGACTTCAATACACTAAGTCATCGTAAATGGCAACAGTATGATCCCAATAAACCGCGATAATGAATGAAAAGATAAGCAGAGCTAGTTTTGAAATAATCGAATAGGCAGGCCACGAGTATTAAAATTAAAATTGTGTTTTGCTTAGTAGCTTCACAAGGTAAAATTAGCATTGAATATTATTGCATTTTTGTATAAAAACTTAATAAAATGAGATTCAAGCATTCGCTTACCGTTGCATACATATTGCCCGGCACTAACGCATACTATTTAGCAACGAACTTTTAATTAA